CATTTTCTCCAGCTGCATCACTTGGTCTAATTAAAGATATTACCACTGCCTACAACCCTTGTCTCTTCCTCCAACCGGTCCCTCCCAGAATGAGAAATCTAGGTCATTTTGATGCTCTCATTGTGATACTTGAGTGTCTGTCGAAATGAAATAAAGATTTTGGCCTTTACTTGTTAAGTAGTTAACGTCCTGTGCACAAGGCAAAGAAGGCTTATTGTTTTTTAGACTAAGAATTTAAAGCTGTGACTCTGTTACAATCAATTAAGATGGGAGTTTGGATGTCTGGAGGACTTCCAGACAGTTCTCCCAGTCCTCTTCCAGACTGGGCACCTCCAACAGTCTCGGGAGACGGCAAGAGCACAAAGGCCACAGCAACTCCAAAGCCGAGGTCGGTAAAGCACTGCGCATGGGACTACTCGGAAAGTCCTGAGAAAACCCAACCACACCTCTGGCCATCAGAGATGGGATATCCAAGCAGATAGGAACAGAAGCACATTACGTGCTCAGTGCCAAAAGCATACAAGCTGCATTTCATGGCTACAGCAGCCCCCTTATCCTAATCAGGTTTGTATCCTGCCAAACCTAGTGTTACTGAAGTTTCTCTAATCCAAAACCTGGACCAGAGCAGCACTCCACATGTCCTCTCCTCCCCAAGCTCAAGTTTAGCAAACTCCTGCTGCACAACATGTTCAGGTATTAAGAGAACTTGTGAAAGCAGCTACCCCGAGTCCCTTTCTCGGCACACTCCTGAATAAGTCCTACTCTGCAAGTGTAGGTGGAGCACGGGTCCTGCTCTTACCGCGAGGGGTGAACTACACTTCTGTCTGACCTTCATTTGTGACTCGCAGGAGGTTACAGTGTCCTGACAGCTCCTAGCAGCTGGAACTGAAACTGCCCATGAAGCCACACAGTGAGGCCAAGTTGGAAGGAAGGAAGGAAGTTATAACAGACTTTTAAAATAGCGCTATATAATACCTGAAGCTTCTATTTTTGTGTGCTGATAATATGGTTTCCATATGATTATTCTTCATACACAGCGGGTCAAGCCATTCTCACTCAAACTGAATTAGCAGCAACCAAGATTCTTCAGCCGTTACTCCAAGGAGGTGCGTGCCTTTAATCTCTGTGTGCCAGACTCCCGATTGCAACGGTACAGTACAACCACAGGTTGCACGTTTCACTAAGAGCCATATGGATTTCCTTCTGTGTTTGTTTCTTACTTCTATTTTACCTTTATGATCAAGTGACAACAACTTTAAATGCACTACAGATTTCACGTGGCTTCACAACCATCTATACAGCCTCTGCAATGCCTGCATCACATTTAGTTACGTCTCTGGCATGCTCAGAGATGCCAATATAGCTTTCTGCCCAGAAAAGTCCTGCAAGACGTCTCTCATCTAAGGACAGCAATGCAGTTACATTCCTCCACGCTTACACAGGTATTCAAAGAGCCACAAAACAGGAGGCCTGTTATGACTTTTTCAGTTACAACATGGCTGTACTCAGCAGTCACACCTCAGCTTTGCAGTCCTAATGAGAACTTGGCTGTCATTATTAAAAATGGCCCCACACTTGAAGGTAGAACTCTTTCAAAATAGATATATTTGCTTTTCTGTTTAAACTAACTCATTAAAAATAATCTTTTTGCTTCCTTGACATTTTTTCCCCATTTCATTTACAACGCAGCAGGTTTCTCATTTTGGGTCTACAAGGCAAGAAACAGCCTGGACACTTTTGTTTAAGAGGAATTTTCCTGGGTGCCTGGTCCATACACCTCAAGTCTCATGAGACCAACTCCACATGGGAACAAGAATTTTGCACTCTGCCCTCTCTTTGGGCTCCCTCCTGACCTCCATTATTGGCAATGATATCCCCCCAAGGACAGTGCCCATTCAGTAATGAATGGGGCAAGGCTGTGCTTTCCTAATAGCTATGAATTAGCAGCAACTTTCACATTATGCCCCTCCTTTCCCCCGACAGGGTTGGAACAAGGGACAGGCTCTGCACATACAAAATAACTCACTTCTCGTGAGAATCCATCTTTCAAGTCGATTCAAACATTTGCTCCAGCACATTAAGCTAGCTAGCATGTTGCATTCAGAGCAGCAGCGCTTAAGTCACGGTGACAACCCCTCTCCAGACACAGCATTTCACTGATGCTTCACTTCAGATCACTACATAAAGATCTGCAGCCAACACCTCTACTCTATTTAAGGTGCGTACATATCCCCTCCTCCCCCCACCCCGCCCCACATCCTGCGGTCCCTTGCATAACACCACCATCGCCACGTCCCACGGTGAAAGAGGACAACAGAGGGGGACCTGCAAGCAGGCAGCTGTGGTCTCCAAGTTGGCAAACACTAGGAAAACCTCCAGCGGCTTACTGGGAGCCAGCTCAAACCCCAGAGAAGGACCAGGCTGAGGGGACCGAAAGTATTGCCATCTCAGCTCCCAGCCTGGGAGGAAATCAAGCCCAAATTAGTTATGCAAATTGTGGGATTCAAATAGTAAGAGTAATATGAGGTTAGGTGATGATGATGCTTTTCAAAAGAACTTGGTGTGATTCCATTTCTAGTCAAATGACAAATGCCAGACTATGAAACATACAGTGAATGTGAGCTATTTAAAAACACAGGTGGTTTTACAAAGAAGGCACTGTTAATACTAGCAACTAAAAGGTATTTCCTATCAGTGCTTGCTTGCAAAGTACAGCTACCATTACCCTCCACTGTAACAACAAAATCACCTACTCAGAAAGTACACGTTCTGCTCCTCAGATGCATGGAGGTACTCGTCTCATGCTTGCCAAATGAAAAGTCATAAAGAGAGGTGCCTGGCAATAAAAGAAACTTAACAAAGGTCTCAGGTTTTCCTGTTGGTGTTACAAATGCCCTAAAGGAACAGCTGATTTTTGGAACAAGTATCAGAGAAAGCACAGTCAGCTGCACAAACGTACTAAGTGGCAAGCAAGAGGCTAAACGCCAAGCTTAACTCACAGGAGAAATCCTTGCACCAAGCAAGGTCAATGAGATTACACGGACAAGTAAGAATTGCTCACATGAGTAAAGATGCAAAGTGTCAAAATCCCCAGTTTCAGCTCCGGCTTAGCAATCAGATGAACTCTATACGGGCAGCCCTTTCAGTCATACATGACTTCATACGCAAGACGACTTCAAAGTGACGTTTTCTTTGGTAATTAGAACGGACACGCTGCCTTTCCTGCGGTCTGCAGGTAAATCATTCACCTCCAATTACCTGACCAACCTGGGCAACGTGGCTACCATCAAAAACACGCTTTGAACTAAAAATTTGCTGCTGACAAAAAAATCGTTCACGCCGACTTACCGCAGGAATCAGAGAATCGCTGTGCTAATGCAGGCACGGGAGGCTGCACGTTTCTTCTGGAGAAGATCAGTTTAAGGAGCATGCTCCCTTCCTACTCTCCCCGATGGCTCTGTAGTCAGGCCTCCCCACCCAAATGGATGAGATTAGGCTGTTCAGCTGTTTATAAAACATAGTATTGCACTGAAACGTACACTGCAACATTCCTCCCTCTCGTTCCTGCGAGCTATATAAGGAAATAGCCAATTCCAGCGTTTTCCCCATAGCGATTACTGATCCCTTTGCACTGGAACAGCCCCGGGTTGGTTTCCTGAAGGCATACTTAAATATATCCTAGGCCTTACAGCATTGTACTGGACGTTGTCATCAAATGGCAGCACAGACAGCTGCCAAATCTTGCAGGCTCAGTGCTCTAATATGGAACAGCTGGAGAAGGACCCTGCATTCTTCGCTCCGTGTAAACACTGGGGGCTCTGTTCAGGATCCGGCGGCAGCGAGGCCGGAAGAATTCCACCTATCGCGAAATGCGGCGAGCGGCACAGACTTCTCCCCCTCGCAGGCGGTGCTCGCCCTCATCTCTTAAACGTGCATGGTCCAAAATTAAGAGCTCAAGTTCCCAATATTATAGGATTGTAAGCAAGAGGGTTGCTTGTAATAGGTGGTTTCTTTTTTTGGGGGGGGGACAGAACTATGCAACTTAAGGATGGATTTAGCCTTCCCTCCTCAACAAATAGTCTCTATTTCAGAAAGTCTGTTACAAATAGTTTACATCTCCGTCTATATAATGCATATATATACACATATATGAACATTCATGTCTGTACACACGTACAATCATCAACTCCAATATATTAACACACAGCGCAATTCTCACATCACTTATGTAATTTTTACACTGCTCTAACTTCATTTACTTCTGTGGAGTTGAGTAACTTGTTATGGTTTGTAAACAAGATCAAAATATATAAAAAAACATATACAGCTAAGAAAGTAACATACTATATACATTAGACTATGTGCAGTACCATAAAGCAGTCCACTAACATTTTCTCAGAGCTGCACTGAAACACAAGAGGGTATTCAGAGCTGCAGGAAAAATGTGTCCAAACAGGATCTGAATGATGAAATAAAAATTGCCACATTTAAAAAAAAAAAAAAAAAGATAACCCAGCTGGCCAGACCTTCAGAAAATAACAGTTTGTATAAGGTACTGATGGGGTTCTTCTGCATGTTGCAGAAAGCAAAGCAAGCCACGTTGTCCAAAAGAAGCCTAGAAAATCCAGACTCTACGTGACCTGACTTACTTATTTCACAGGAAACTGCATGGAAGGAGGAAAGGGAGGGGGAAAGAAGGGGG